GGTAGACGGAGTAGTCAAATGTTGTATACAGCAGTGACTTGATATAGTATTAAACTGGTTATATTTACAAAAAAAGTGTGTAAGTCTTACGATTTAAATAAGCAACCGTTCACTTAATGTCATTATTATAGCTATATTTTATTTTTAGAAATAATATCACACTGCAGTCTCTCATCCCATCGTATGTTCGATTATATTTTTTAAAAAATTAAAAGTTTTAGAAAATAAAAGAGAGAGAGAGAGTACATTTATTTTTATCCACATTATAAAACTAATTTTAAAAAAAATTGTCGTATTCTGCAACTTTACATAAATGACAGGTAAAGAATGCATTCATTTAAAATGATCTTCTTGGGCAAAGATTTAAGACCTGGGGTTTTTGATAATTAAAAGACAAGAAATCATACATAAAGTCGACATGGAAATTTAAAAATACACCACAGAAACAAACTAAAAAAAAACAAAGACTGGAATTTTGAGTGACGTGCCAGGAAATCATTTTGTAATGTGTTAAAATGGAGTTGAGTTTCCTGAGTTATCTAGGAAGTTACTTCTGGGAAAGAGATCTCATCGCTAACGAGTCTTAATTAAATGTATAACACTGAAGTCTGTGAAAATTTCATGACAAAGAATTCCTCTCTTGGGAAAATGTGTGTCGTGTCGAGAGACCGTGTAGAAACGCGCACTGTCCTGTCCAAATACTGATACCGGGCGCTAGCGCGAGCCGTAGATGATGAAAGCCAAAATTACCGACATATTAAATTGATTTTTTAATAAATGAAAAGTACAAGCCGATGCACGCGACTTCATATTTGAACGAGTAAATAATAAAAGCAGTTTCGTGAAATCATTGTGTATTTATCCGAAATTATTTTTCCTGTGGGAAAAACTTAGACCAATATAATTTAACCTTTTTTTCTTTTTTGTTAAAGCGTGTCAGTCGCGCGACCAGTTTAGTCAACTTACATATGTAAATGGTCGTAAAAGCAGAATGTGTCGACGATTAGGCATAGTCGGATTTTATGGAAGATATCGAAGCGGAATAAAATGGCGTACAGGTTTTTCTTCTTTTATTCAATATTCTTACATGATCTTTTTTGAGAGATTCCCGCTTCATTAAATTCCAATAAGCTGTAGAGGTCTAATAGCTGAGCGCGGGCACGCGCGCCGTACACCGTATCACTCTACCAGAGAACACCTGCCCCCGAATTTCATCTCCAGTATGGAACTGAACGCCTCCTGCACGCGCGCATAATGAGAGGGCAGGTGATGCCAAATTAGGCACAATATCGCTCGTCTGAAAATCTTATTCAATCTGATTTTTATATAACTATAGCTCTTTTATCCCAGCTTTTCGAATAAATATCCCAAAGTGTTTGGAATCTAAATAGACCCACTGCTGTTCCAGAGGGTTCCAATTACAATCATCAATCTCTAGCACTGAAATCCATAATTACGTTTCAATACTTTGACGTGGGTCTAAACCAAATTTTAATTTAAAAATTCAGTTTCATTACTTGAAATATAATTTAATTTATTATTTTGTTTTTTAATATAAAAGTCATCATTAACATTTAAAAATGTTTAAAACATTTTACTGCATTGAATTTTACAAATTTATACACTGATCTAAGGAAAAAGACAGTATTAAAGTAAGAAAAAAAAATAAAATAATAATTTTAAAGCGCTTTGCCTTTCTTTTTTTCAACACCGAGCAGATATCTAAGATGAAACTTCTGTACATTTATAGGAATTAAATATATGAAAAATTGAAGTAAAAATAAAACCCACATAGCTGTAAAATATAATGCCATATATATGCATGCCATTGTAGGATTAATTTTTGGTGGTTTGTCATTTTATTTCATAAACAAAAGAATAATTTCCTCATAACCTCAAAACAACACCGAGGAATATGTTAGAAAACATGACAATAAAACAGAGTGCGCACCCTGTTTTTGTCGCCCTCCGATGGATAAAGCTCATTCTGATCGAGCCAGTCCGCACTTAAAAGACTTCCAGGAAACGGAGACTGAAAATGAAATCTCGTACCGCGAGAATCACCACGAGAATCACTACAAATATTTGCCAGATTCTGACACCCGCGGCGGAATTTTGCTACAAATCACGGTGCGGTACTTGGCCGTTGAGATGGTGATGTATTGTCAGCTGAAGAGATGCCGTGATTGTGGAGAACACAGTAAGGTGACTAATGGCAATCCGGTACTTGTGTTAGTATTTAATCAGTCCCAGTACAAGTAATAACCGATAAATCACCAAGACTGTTCACAAGTATGCGATAAATGAGGGAACATTTGTTAATACTATTTTTGTAAAGAATGAATTAAATTTTTTTTTATTTCCTCCTTTTCTTTTTTTTCTCTTTCTTTATGTTTTGAAGAAATAGTATAATAAGCTTTATTGGAGGAAGTTGTCAATGGCTTCTTTTTCTATGAGATCCCATATGTTGCGGATGCTACGCTCAACAACTGTTGCGACGGAACTTAGAAAACATTTGTAAAAACTTTGATCGGTCAAAAGTAACACATATCGATATTCACCTTTACGAATGTCGAAACCTCGTCATCAGCTCGTTTTGTTATTGAAGCTGCAGGACAACATCTTTGTAATGTAAATGGCTTATTTCATGTAGTTTTATGAGATTAAAGATAAAATTATAACAGTATTTTCCCCAAATTAAAATGCGCACTTACAATTTTTTCTATTTCAAATTAATTATCAAATTGACATATAAATGTCTTTGATATGTAAACGAATTTAAGCATTTCTTGTAAAAAAAAAAAAAATTGCATGTGCTATCCTTTCCCGTTTTTCCCATCGAATATAATAATGAAAAAAAAATTCAATTGAAATAAGCAATCTTGAATGAAATTTTGCCCCCTTTCCCCTTAAAAATTTACATAAAAGTATCCGAAATTTACAGCTTAGAATTTTAAATTCAAATTTAATGGTAAAGTCATATTTGTTTTCGTTGTTTAACTGTGCTGTTGTTGCCCAACAAATATCAACATCTGTCGTCTTAAGAATTTATTTTCACCTTTTTTGTTGAAATAACTTTACTTTAGGTACCGCTAAACTTGTCAGCATTGTTGATGGAGTATGATCTTTAGTGTTCAAATCAAACAAATTTTGCGCATTATAGCTATTGTTCCTGGACGAAAATTCCACAAGTGTTGGTTAGTGGCGACAACAATGCCGCGAAGTCTGACACAGTTGCGAAATTGAAATTACATAAATCCGATTTTGCTATAAATTCAACAGTCGCTGTGTATACCCAACAATGTATTTTGTGGCTGGGAGAAAGTTAAAGATCGGCACGTGCTGTCGACATCTGTCGCGTGATACAGGAGTTTTGTGCCGTCTGCGGTCTGCGAGTTTTAGGGGTAACTGTCCTTACGAGGACGGATCCTCCTTTATCTCTTAGAAATAATTTTTTACCTTTTTTCTTTATGTATTTTTTTTAACTTTCACAAGGCTTCGATCACGCATGGAATAATTGATCCTAGAGAAATGGTGTCTACGGAATTTTGATTATTAAAGTACAAAAGATTGAAATTCCATATCAACATTTAAAATACCTAGTAGTTTTAATTCAATTTACCAAATAAATTAATAATTGAGAATAGTAGCAGAGAGATAATGACAATATTTCATTACTGAAAAGATCGTAAATAATTCAATAAACAGTCTGATTTTTATCAGAAAACATCAAAGATAGTGGCCGCTGCAAATGGCGGGAATTGACTTGGTCTACAGTTATATGACAATTGTCAACTTTATAACCATCCTTGAGGAATCGATCCTAGGATAGCGCCCCAGCACAACAGGTGGCGGCGCGGAGCCTCTTCTGCAAACGGCACTAATCAAATATTGATGGACTTTAACAAATTCAATATTCTAAAAAAAGTGAGAAATGGACATCTTTAAGAATCAGTTGGGTAATGCACTACTTGAATTGTTTGCATTGCAATTTTCGAGAAGAAATTTAATATTTATGATTTTTTTTATTCCATAGCAGTTATAGGCTTAAAATCTATACCATATTTTCCCCATACATACTGTAATGCTTTTTGGAATGTGCATGTTATTGATTATAAAAGAAAAGTAATGAAATTAAGAAAGTGTTGCAAAAGAACTTCTGTTCCGGTTACTTTGGGTGCATCTATTCTTGCTAAATTGTTTTAACAATTGAAATCTTTAATTTGTACAATAAAAAGAAGAATCAACATACGATTTTTTTTAAAAATAGAGAGTCGATGACTTAAGATTTTACATAATTTATTTTCCTTATTTTATACAGATTAATTTTATAGCTATTACAGAAAGAAAATTGATTTATATTTTGCGAACTTTTCTATAATACGTCATATATAAAAAGTCCGGAATTGATGTTTGACGGCTAGTACAATGGGTCGCGTGCGAGCAAGTTCTCCTCAGCTGTATGCAAATGAACGCGCGCGCGAATTAAGAGCTAAACTTTACTCTGAAGAAATTATAAGAAATTATTGATTTTTATACATGTTTTCTTCAACACATCCCAAAATTATATTCAGAAATTGAATTTTCATTAAGGAAAAAAAAAATTAAAAATAAATTATTATGCTATGTGAAGTTACGCACAGGAATGAAATCACGTTCAAAAGCATTATTTCCTTGGTTCAGGAAAATTTTTCCATGGTTTTATTTTTAATTGTGAAACAAATATCGATATAATCAAATTGCGTGTTGTTGATATTATTAAACGACATTTAGTCAATCTATTCGTTATTGATTGCCTTTACTCTGTAGAAGAATTTTGCCGAGTTCTACAAACAGAAAAAGTTTACCGTTCATAACTGTTTTGATTAAAGAGATTCCCTTTATTGATTCTTCTATAACTTTAATCATCGCTCGTTTCACCTGTACAAGTAAAATGCACACGCTATAGAACAATCGCAAGCGCCAAATTCATGTAGTGCGCTATGAGAAAAAAAGTGCGCACGATTAACAAAGAAAATTGGCATCAGAATTTGTGAAAAGCGAGTACCACAAAACAAAGAGGGTACGTATCAGTGGCTGGGTTCTCGAAGGGGGCGTGTCTCGTCTATGAATATTCAGAGAAATTCTCTTAGTCTTAGCGTGCCTATAAAAGGCAATGTGATGCTATTTCTGCGGGTTTGGTCAATAACTATACAGGCTGAGATGAACTGTTGTGATTAACATTACAGAACTTGAGAACAAAGCAAATAAGATATCAATTTTTGATACAACAAATATAACTTGACCAAATCCCCCTTTCGATAACTTTTTTCGCACTTACGCCTTTGATGGTAATTTTGGAATTTTGAGGACTGAGAAGAATTTCATCCTTCCCAGTATCTCATCATGCCCAGAGGATTTCTTGTTAAAAGAACTAACCATGGAGGAGCAGCGTCCTACAGAGAAAGGAACAATTCGGAGGGCGAGCGCCCAGACCTGGAAGCAGATATTACAAGATTTGGGTCTCCGGATTCTGGATATTGCGCAAGTCCTACTAATTTCTCAAAGGACATAGAAAATAATAATTACGAGAAGCCACACTGCTCTCCCCTGACAGTGAGTACACAACTTTACTTTTCAAATTTTGAGAAGCTGAGTGTCAACTCTCCAATTAACGGGAATTCCTCTCCAAAGCCACTGGATCAGAGCAGCCCAAATAAGAGAAGAAATGAAAATAAGAACAAGCCTATCAAAAAACCAAAGGCTGCTCGGAAGATAAATTTTGACGAGGACACGACGTCTCCCGTCTCGGGCTGTATCATAAAACATGTTTCACCGGAGGAGGAGGGTACAGTGATATACCACGGGGACATTGACAGCACGTACAACTTCGTCGAAGCTACTCCCGAGGCTCGCGCAGAGCTTGAAAAAATTGATAACAAAATCGGAGACTATATCTGTCAGTTGTGCAAAGAATTTTACGAGGATGCGTTTCAGCTGGCCCAGCATCGGTGTTCCCGCATTGTACACGTGGAGTACCGGTGCCCGGAATGCGGGAAGGTATTCAACTGCCCGGCAAATCTTGCGTCTCACAGAAGATGGCACAAACCGCGACCTCCTACAGTCAACAACAGACAGAGCGCACCGGCAAAAATTCTACCTTCAAACCAGAATGCTTTGCACACTGGCAACCTGAATGAGGCAAAACATGACAACGCCACGTTCTTGATTCCGACGGACCTAAGTATTTCCAGTCCGACGAACCTTAGCATTTCCAACAGCGAAGGACAGTTTAAGTGTGAAATATGCGACAAGAAATTCCGTCGACAAGCTTACTTAAGAAAACATCAACAAACTCACTCCGATTCCGCTAAAATTGTACGCAACGACAACTCTACAAGACATGAAATCCTGCGCACCAACAACACGAAAGAGTTATCAAGCAAAGAGCCCTTGTGTTGCGAGGTTGCGTCACCTCAAAATGCATTTGAGAGTTTGCAGACGAGAGTTCCAGATATGTACGTGTGTAAGTACTGCGAGAGTTCGTTCAGCAGTTCGCCAGGCCTTACAAGACATATTAACAAATGTCATCCAACCGAGAACCGACAGGTCATTCTTCTTCAGATGCCCTCAACCCTCCCGCGCCATATGTAAATAGACGGTGCCTTAACACCGTTTGTGCCTGACTGCAAATAAAATGTATATTTTTTTGATGAACTTTTAGAAGTGTAAGAGTTGTGCAAATGTGCCTTCCTTCCATATATGTATAAACATGTATTTTCACATAAACGCTTCACAATATTTTTTACTAGATTATTATTTTATAGAAAGATATGTTTATTTGCAGGTATTTAAAATGTTTTGTTTTAAATTCTGAAATTAAGTCGTACTTTTCGTGGATGAAATCGATATTTTGTTGTTTTTATGTATTATTTAAGTTTTATAATTGATATATTTATTTTAGAATCTTTATTTTTACAATGGACTTGTGCATTAATATACTTTGAGAGTGCAATATTAAGTGCAATATTTTAATAACCATTATATACAAGTGCAATATTTTGAAATGTGCAATATAATAATATAGATATATTTTATTAATACTGACATATTTCTACATGTTGTAATAAATTGTGATATATTTTTATCTGGCTAGGCCGGGCAAGTGCAATTTAATTTATTTTAGATAGTCTAGTAGTATTAGAATTTAGATTTTAGATTTATTTTATTTTATTTACGTGATTATTTTTTGCTTTTGTTATCCAGTATGCTTAATATTTTACTTGAAAAGAAACAGGGTTTTACCAAAGAAAAGCGATTATTTATGTTGTGATCCTTTTATTTCTTTATTGGTTATTTTTTTGTTCTATTTTTTTAGTATTATATTTTGTTATAATATTTTACGCAAACAAGTCTTGTCAGTAGTTGCATTATTTTAAAATTACATTTTTGTTTCCGTTTTAATTTATATACTTTTGTTGGTTCATTTTGTTACCCATGTTCTAGTATTTTATGTTAAAATCCAGTTTATTTGAGAGAGAGAGAGAGAGAGTGAGAGAGAGAGAGAGAGAGGATTGTATTTCATTCACCTATTGCAAACCTTTGTAAGAGATGCATTGTTACTTAATAAAGATTGATTTCTATACGTGTAATGACTTTATAATTGTAACGGTCTTAAGGGACTTGTCAATGCCCGCCGTGTGCTTGATTGACATTTTACCTGTGCCGTTCGCCAGGTGAAGTGTCACACCTGAGTTCTGGATTTATTTACACACATTAAGTTTGCAGGCATTCACTGTTTAATTTGATTTAACCATAGTTCTGGAACACTGCAATTATTCTTAGTCGGCTTATGATGAACGGAGCTTTTGATCCTTTTGTCAGTTTTATTTTATTAAGGGTTGTTAACATTTGGTGGTAGGTATCCCGATCATACAATCCGATGCTAACATTGATACATCTGGGATAGCTATGAGAGCACATTTCCACAAAAAAAGATCAAGATCAAGTATTATCACAGATGTTTGATCCTAAAATAAAATCAAAGGAGAATGACAATTAAAGTAAATGCATTTTGAGGAATGTCTTTTATGATAGACAAGGACACAATAACTTTCTCCTTCAACTCTATCCTGCTCCAGGGAGTTAAATCTGATGCAGCGTGGTTGAAGAATGCGATATTGATCCAAAACACTAATTTGTAACTAAGAAATGATGTTCTAAAAGTTACTAACCTGACTATAACATTAGCATAATCTGTCAAATATGATTAATGAAACTCGGAGTAGCCCAATTGAAAGGTTTCTCATGGCTCTTGATAACACGTTTCCAATATGAAGCTGACAACACCTACAGTATTATACTGGAGGTGATTCAGTCACTGCGAAAGTTGTTTTATGACAACAGTATTGAAGTGGGGGTTGAAGATTGATAAGGCACAGAATATTAATCAAAATGAAAGGTAAACAAGAAGTGTAAATCCGAAGGAATGCTGATCGCTTCGAATTTCAGGATTAGAAAAAATACGGTATATCGGACTCGAATGTTATCACGCGGAACGTATTTCCGGCGGCCAGTTTTTGACGCTTATCAAGTAATATCAAGACTAATTAACTGCATAAAATCATATAAATCGATCTACCTTAGTCAACAAAAGCTATTTAAACGGTATTTTAGTAGTCAGAGTCCGATCATCTGACTGTGATAAATTAAGAACATTGCAATCCATTAAACGACACTTCCTACTTAGGCCGGCTCGAATTCGTCGCGAGTCTGTCATCAGCCGCGATGTTGCCTTGTTTGATAATTGTCCTAATGGGTTTGATTAGTAGCATTACGACCCAATTGCTTAATACATTTTTTGTACGATAGTAAAATCACTAGACTTCAAGAAGTTTTTTAGCAAACAACCCACAGGATCAATTTCTGTGCGGAATTATTTTTCCACGAGGACCACTTTTATTGTCGTGGCGCGCAACGAAAAATGACATCGAGAATAAAACTGGTCATAAGTTTAATGACCAGAAAATATAATTATAAGCATATTTGTGTAAGATCACATACCATATATTTTTTTTACAACATGTCTGGCATCTCTTTGACGCCTGGAAAAATGAAAATGGTTACTACGGACATATCTCCAATAGATAACTACAAAGTTTTTTGGAGAGGGTATGCAAATATTGACTATGGGTAATGTTAAGCATTATAAAGTTCTTGAATAATCAATACCAATATTTTAAAATTATATGATATTTTAAGTGAAACCGTGAAATGAAACATATGGAGATAACGAATAGTATTCAAGATCAAAAGTCCATAAAACAACACAAAATAGGAGCAAAGTAAACACGGACCTCCAAAACATCGGAGGTGGGATCAGGTACCATGGAGAAGTGAGCATTCGCTGCCGATCGGTCACCCTCGCCAAATGCTCCTTGTCATGATTGGAAAATAACGGAAATATCCGTCGTCAATTCTGTGTAAATAATGGACTAACAATTAGTATGAAAAATGTCAGTCAGCATTTGACTCAATAAATTGTATTTGCTGACAAGGTCATTGTATCGGTCATCGAACTAAAGAAATGATGACGTTAAACGAGACTGCTGAAAATCTTGTTTCAGCTTCTTATTTGTCAATTTACCTCGTTTTAGAAATTGTTCATACATAGTGCATGCTCTTGCTTATCGAATCAACTGAGATATATAAACTCCGTATGCAGGCGATGAAGGAGTATTGCTGCATAAGTAAAAGAAGTTGACGATAGAAAAGTTAAAGTCATCATGTTTATCATAGAGCTTGATTGTTAAATTTGTTATATTACAATTACCGTCTTTTTCAAGTAAAATATCCAAATATGGAACAGATATGTCCGACTCTGTGGTATCTTTTATCTCAAGCTCACCAGGATATATGGCATTGACATAAGGATGGAAATTACCATTGTTAATTGACAATACGTCGTCGATATATCTAATTGTCGAGTTGAAGGCCACAGCAAGTGTTTTCTTCTTTTCACGCATAAGGTTTTGCACAAATTCTGCTTCATATGAATACTAAAATAGGTCTGCTAATAACGAGGCGCAATTAACGAGGCACAATTGGTACCCATGGGAATTCCATAGATTGTTGGGAAACCTGGTCTCCAAAAAACAACATAGATATTGTCAATCACAAACTCAAGCATCTTTTAATATCAACTTCAGAGTATTTGTGTGTACAATCAGAATGCTTTTAACAAAATACATCTGCAAATGACCAATGACAAGGTAAGTAAATTTACGAGTTCCGTTTTTTTTTTGAAAAAGCAGCTGTCAATGATATAAAAAAAGCCTTGACTTTAATTTATTGTGGGGAATGGTTGTGTAGAAAGTTGAAAAGTCGTAAGTTTTTAATTTATTGATTTTAGTGAACTCTTGTGATTTCAAATTGTCCAAAAGTTCATTGGAATTTTTAAATATCTTCATCTGATTAATGCCACTTCTTGAATATATTGTTGCACAGTACTCTGAAGTTTCTCCTTCACTACTGTTAATATCTTAGTGAGGAGTAAAGAAAGAGACTTGGTTGAACATTTACTGGAACCCGCTATGTATCTTTGTTTGTATTAGGACTCTTATGAAGTTTTTGAATCCAATATATATCTGGTATACAAAAAATATTCAAAACGGACATGATTTTGACGAATTTCTTCCTTAGAAAGAGAACTATGAGTATAGGTTGGATTACCACTTGTAGAATTAAGTTCTTCGAAAATAGTATGCATTGAACTTAAAATACATAGTGATCATCCTCACCATGTTTCCTGAGTCCACCACCCCCGGCCATTGGACTGCCTTGATGGCTCTCAGGACTCCGGATATAGTTACGATGATGTACATAGATTTTGTCGATATTTAACAGCTCTTGTCCACTACAAAAGATCTTCTGTGTTGGTCATTTGCAAATTATTTTGTTAAAAACAATCTGATTGTACACACAGGTACTCTGAAATTGATATTAAAAGATGCTCGCGTTTCAGAGTAACAATATTTAAGTTGTTTTTGGAGATCAGATCTATCAGCAATCTGCTAGAATTCAAAGGTTAGTTATTAAAAAAATGTTCTACATTTCAGAGAAGAAAACATTTGCTGTGCTCTCCAATTCGACATTTCGAAACATCGACGACGAATTATCAATTAAAAACAGTTATTTCCATTCATATGTCGATTCGATATACATGTATATCTTAGTGATTTGAAATAAAGTATGCCACAGAGTCTGACACATGTGTTTCATATTTGAATATTTTACTTGAAAAAGACGTTGATGGAAACCTAATGCTAAAGCTTAATAATAAACGTGATGACTTCAACTTTTCAAATGTCAACTTCCCTTGCATGTATTTATGTAGCAGTATAAATTGATCACCAATGTTAATGTTTCTCATTTGATTCGATACACAAGAGCATGTTTTACTTATGAACCATTTCTAAACAGACGCAAGCTTTTGACAAAGAAGTTGAAACAACTTTAAAATTATTTTACAGGTCATATGGTCGATAAAATAACCTTATCAGCATATACAACCTATCAGTTAGTCAAGTGCTGACTGATGTTTTTATACTACTTGTAGTTGTTAGACTATTATTTACACACTGCATTATCTACGTTTTTTTATCATGACAAGGAGCACACGGCGAGTGTGACCAATCGACAGGGGATGCTCACTCCCCAATGTCACCTGATCCCACCTCTGATGTTATAGAGGTCTGTATTCGCTTTGCTTCCGATTTGCATTTATAGAATGGACTTTATTCTTTTCTCCATATTTCTTTCATATATCTATAAGCAGGGCGACCCTGGGGAGATATTTTTTTATATTTGTTATCAAAGAACGTTTTTATATATATAAAGCAAAAAAAAATGATTTCACATCTGAAGAAAATTATCAAAATCTAAACCTTCACTAGATATGATAGCATAATTCTTTCATTTCAGTAAAAAATAGGTATCTTCTGCACATCGATTACAGATTTTGCTAAACATGTTGTAGAGTTTAATGATATGCATTTCAGAGAGCTCGGAGTCATATTTGAACAGTTCTAAAGTTTTAAATTTATTACACTCCCCATTTGCTTTTTTTCAGCGATGCTACAGCATATATCGACATTTATTTGTAAATTGACTTTTTTGATTAAAATTGCATATAACTGCTGTAAAAGATAACAAAAACAGACTTACCAACTGTTAATCTGTCGATAAATGTATCTCCGAATACAATAAAAATCTATATGACTGATCAAATAGCTATGTTTTAGCATCTAATGACACGGGCGCTAAATTCCAGTACGTGAGTATTTATGATACTTGATAGTCAAGTCTAATTTCTTGGGTGTTAACTGTGTTATATTGGCGATTTTAAATAATTTAGAGTCATGGTACAGACTAAAATACATTATGTGTTAATTGATATTTTCTGTTTACTAGATATCAGGTGAAGCACAAAAAATTTCTTTACAAAGAATTTGAAGAAAATTATTTCCTAACATTCTGCATAAAATATGCAGGAAACTAGTCCAGTTTAATAAAAATTGTATACTTTATTCATCCAAGAAGTTGTAACTT